GGCTCGGGGCAGGGCCTGTCAGTGGAGGCTGCGGACCAGGAGCTGCTGCTTGTTTCGGAGCCAGCGCCGAGTCAGCGAAGTTTGATCTCCGGCTGCCATGCAGAAGTCGGGGTCCTCTGCAGGATGGGGGTGCCATGGCCTGATCCCTCTCTCCTGGTCCCCGTACCCGGCACCAGGCGCTTCCCCCTCCTCCCCCTCATCCCTGTCTCAGCCTGGAGGGGATTCCTCTCCACTGGGGAAGAAGCTGTTCAGAGCTGGGGCCTCAGACTCCTCCACCCGGCTGGGAGGTCATCCGCGGCCTCCACGGGCGGCCAGGGCACATTCTGAGGCCGCCTTCCCCTCCCCAGCGGACATATACGACAAGGTGTCGGGCGAGATGCAGAAGAAGGGCTATGCCTGTGAGTGCCTGGGCGGCGGGCGCATCTCCCACCAGAGCCAAGACAGAAAGATCCACGTGTACGGCTATTCCATGGTGAGCCGGCTGCAGACCCTTGGCACTGTGAGCACCCATTGTCCTGGATCTAGACCCTGAGATTCCGGGGTCCCCCAGTCTCAGCTGCAGACCTGCTCAGGGTGCCTTGCCTTCCCACACTCCCACGTGGCACACCAGGGGTAGGAAGCCCAGGCCAGACCCAAGGGGCAGTGCACAGCCCCTGCTTGGCTCTCAGACTTGACAGGGTGCGCTCACCCCGTCCGAGAGGTCTGGCTGGCTCTCACCACCCTGGAGCTCTTTGGGTCCCAGGCCTTGGGACAGTCAGTTCTGGGGCCGGCCCCAGAATCCCCACCTTCCATCTTCACAAAGCCCACTGGCAGATGCACACAGGCCTCACAGGGCCCCCCTTGGTGGCTCAGGCCACAGGGTCCACCAAGGACCCACTGTGGTAATTTAGCTGCACTCTGGGGTCCCGGCTCTGCCTTTCTCCTGCTCACGCCCACTCCTGGTGTCACTGCTAGCTGGAGACCCAGAGCCAGGACAGTGGACAAAGTGCCGGGTGGTACTAGCAGCCATCTCTTCTGCCCAGGGTTACGGTCGTGCCCAGCACTCTGTCTCCACTGAGAAGATCAAGGTCAAGTACCCCAACTACGAGGTCACCTGGGCCGATGACGGCTACTGAGGCCTGGCCTGCCACCCTTGCTGGGATCCCTCCTGAGGGGCTGGCCAGCATTTCCCTTGTGCACCCGGCAACGTGCCACCGCCAACCTCAGGCAGCCTGGCCCGTAGAAATTAAAAGTCTCACCACATCTGCCATCCCTGGACTCTGTCTTGGTGTCACTGCCCCTGGGTCAGCTGGGCGGAGCCCTCCAGACTCCTGACTGAAGCAGGGGGAGGCAGAGTGCACGGGTGGCCCCTCCTCCGCCTGGGGAGGCCCAGGGAGTGCCACACACACTCAGCCCTTCAGGTCTGATAAGGGGCCCTGGGCTGCCCCTGTTTATGGCCTAATTGCTCCTCCACGTGGCTGCTATTCCCAAGGACATCTGGGAGGAAGCCCAACAAGCCCTTGCGCAAGGAGTCAGTGCCTGGTCCCTCCACCCAGCTGAGGCCAGGGGCACCCATGAGTGCCCCCTTTCACGGGCCCATCCCAGGATTCCCGGCAGGAAGGGGCACCAGTCACCCTGCCCTGACCAGGCTGACATTGACTTTTGCTGTCAATCTGCGCTCCAGCCCTCTCTAGATGCCTCTTTAGTGTTTTAGTGTCCCTGTGTGGTCTGCCACCCAAGGTCACACATGATTTGACTCACAAGTCATGTCCTATGGCCACACTCTGACCACCGAGGGCTCCTGTTCACTCTGAGCAGGAGGTTGGGGCTCTGACTGGGAGCTGGGTGCCCCTTTCCCAGGACCCTGCCAAACTCTTGGCCCCAGCCCTAGCCCCACGTCCATGCAGGGTGGTGGGTGGGGTGCGAGCTCAGCCCCTGCCCTGGAGAGCCCCACACACAGTGGGGACGTGGTGGGCAGTCGTGCAAACCTCTGTCAGCTTGCTAGGTTCTCAATAGAGGCAGATTGTCCAGCCTGTAAAAATTGTGGCCAAGTTTTACAGGCTCTGAGGCTTGGGAGAAAACAAGCTTCCGAGATCACCCAGCGGAAATCGCAGGCAGGGCCTGGCTCCAAATATCACACTCTTCCCACAGCCCCAAAGTGCCCCTACCCTGCCCCCTGTGGATCTGTGCCTGAGGAGCACAAGTTCCTGGGCTCATCGGGACCCTGGGCCTGGCACCACCCTGCACATGGCTGCTGCGACAGCTGCTGAGGGATCGATACGTGATGGGATGAGAATCCACAGCCTGAATTACAGGCGGGACAGGAGGGAGAACCTATGCACTGGTTCTTAGGTGTGCTTGGTCCCTGGAGGCTGAGAATGCAGGGGTAAGCTCGGGAGGCACACACTGGACTCCTGCAGCTCCTGAGACTCAACCTCCTGTGCCAGCCCTGGGCTGGGGCTGGAGGCACCTCTGCTAACCCCACGCTGCTGCTGCAGAGTTCTGCTGGTGGGGTGCCTGGCCCCTCCTTGTTCCAGTGGGAACCTCCACTGGGGAGGGCAAGGCAGGGATGGGCAGGCGGACATAATGACTGGGGCCTGATCTTCACTCTAAAGGAGCTGGCAGGTGGGAGCTGACTGGGCAGTGGCCTCTCCTGGCAACACTTTTACAGCCGGATGCTCAGCACTGTCAGCAATGGGGGGGGCTGGGCTGAGGGGCCACCGGTCTGGAAGAGGTCAAGTGCCCCTCCAGTTACAGCAGAGTCAGCCTGTGGGGCCACCACGGGCTGATAACCAGACAAAGTCCCCACAAGGCCACCCAGCTTCACTGTCACTGGGCCTCACTCCCTCCGGCTTGGCCATGCATCTGCTGGGGCACCTCCTGCCCACCCTGGCCCTGCTCCTGGGTGAGTCATCTGGTCCAGCTCCTGAAGCAGGGCTGGGGGCTCTGGGTTCTGAGCCTGCTGTCTGGGTGGTGGTGATGGGTGCTGGGGCTGACGCTTGAGCCCCCCCAGGGAAGGAAGGTGCGAGGCACACCCCTGGGCGGCCTGCAAGGGGGAGACCCAGGACGGGCCACATGGCTGGAGATTGCCCAGCAAGGAGCGAGATTCTCTTGCTGGTCCAAAGCAAGTAAGCCCAAGAGGCAGTGCCTGGGTGGGTGCCCACCTGGCTCCCCCAGCTCCCCCAGGCCTTCATCTGCCACCCTCGGGCTGGGTGTGGGCTGTGGGGGCCCTGAGCCTTGGGAGACAACCTCCTAGCAGCCACTCCAGTTCCTGCTGGGTACTGTAGGCTGCTGTGACCCCAAGGAGGGTCCACGCATATCCACACCTTCTCCCCTTCCTGACACGCAGCCAGCCTCTTCTCGGCTGAAAACTTGGGAATGCTCTGTGCCCTGACCGGAGCCTCCAAGGGCAGTTCTCAGCAGGTCCCAGGCCCCTCCCTACCCAACCTCCTGGGCCTAAGCCCCACAGTAGGGTGACCCACAGTGTCTGGGCTGCCCAGGTCTGAGGGGTTTTTCTGGACAAGGAACTTCCAGTGCCAAAACCAGACAGTCCTGGGCAAGGGGGATGAACAGTCACCCTGCTCCCAGGCTACCTGGCTGTCACTCTGCCAGCAGCAGGGTCCCCAGGCTGGGCCTGGGTCCCCAACCACTGTAGGAGCCCCAGCGAAGCCATGTGCAACTTCGTGTGTGACTGCAGGGACTGCTCAGACGAGGCCCAGTGTGGTGAGCCGGGGCCAGGTGGTGTGCGGGGGCCACGCTCATGGGCAGCACACCTGACCACACGCTCTCCCAGGTCACCACGGGGCATTGCCTGTCCTGGGCACTCCCTTCACCTGCGACTTTGAGCAGGACCCCTGTGGCTGGCGGGATATCAGCACCTCAGGCTACAGCTGGCTCCGAGATCGGGCAGGGGCCACACTGGAGGGTCCTGGGCCTCACTCAGATCACACGCTTGGCACTGACCTGGGTAAGGACGGAAGAATCTCCATGCCCCTCCTCCAGTCCCCTGTGCCCCCTTTGCTTTCTGAAGGTGTCTCCTGACCCCTCACTCCTGGCCAGGCTGGTACATGGCTGTAGGAACCCATCGTGGGAAGGAGGCGTCCACGGCGGTTCTGCGCTCCCCCGTCCTGCGTGAGGCGGCCCCCACCTGTGCGCTGCGGCTGTGGTACCAGGCGGCCTCTGGAGGTGCGTGCCCTGGGCTCCCAAGAGCAGGGGTGGGATGCCCTGGGGGATGGGGCAGCTCCAGGGAAGGCCTGGGAAGGGGAAGGGAGGGGAGGGCGCAAAGCCTGGGAGGGTCAGAGCACAGCAGGCAGCCTGGGGAGGAGACGCTGGGCATAGCTGCCCCAGGACACCAAATGCTGCAGATGTGGCTCACCTGCGGCTGGAGCTGACCCACGGCAAGGAGACACTGACCTTGTGGCACAGCTCGGGACCGTGGGGCCCTGTCTGGCAGGAGGTGGTGGTGACCACTGGCCGCATCCAGGGTGACTTCCAAGTGAGCTGGGGGTGGTCTGGATGGGTGGGAGTAATGGGGAGGGTCTGGGCCCTGACTTGGGTCCTAAAGACCCCTGCTGTCTCCAGGTGACCTTCTCTGCCACCCGAAATGCCACCCACAGGGGTGCCGTGGCTTTGGATGACGTGGAGTTCTGGGACTGTGGGCTGCCCAGTAAGGCCCTGGGTCACGCGTCCCACCCTGGGAGGGCACCGTGGGTTAGCGGCAGTCCCTCGCCTGCCCCTCCCTGCTTTCCCTCAGCGTGCCCCCCACCCACCAGGGACTTGGGGCCAGGGTGAAAGGTGAACCCTCCCCCATCCCAGTCCCCCAAGCCAGCTGCCCCCTGGGACACCACCACTGCAGCAACAAGGCCTGCGTGGAGCCCCACCAGCTGTGCGATGGGGAGGACAACTGCGGGGACCGCTCAGACGAGGACCTGCTCACCTGCGGTGAGGGGTGCTGCTCGGGGGCGGGGGTGGGGCTGCAGAATGAGACTGGGAGACCTGACCCAGCCCTTTGGGCAGGGCCCGACTCATTCAAAGAACACTGGGGCTTGTCCGGGAAGGCTGTGCCTTGGTCCGTCCATCTGGGGTGGGGTAATCAGCGTCCATGCTGGAGCTGGGCCATACGGCTGCAGAGGCCCTGCTCTGACTCCCTGACACCCTGCCTCCCTAGGCCACTACACAGCCACCGACTTTGAGACAGGCCTGGGCCCGTGGAACCTCTCAGAAGGCTGGGCCCGGGACCACGGTGCAGGTGACCGAGAGAACCCCAGCTGGCCGAGCCATGACCACAGCCAGAACAGTGTGCAGGGTGAGGCCTACAGGGGACCCAGCCTTGACCCTGTCCCCCTAGCCCTGGCCCAGCAACCCTGGCTCACACCTCCCCTCTCCCCACAGGCTTCTTTCTGGTCTCCGTGGCTGAGCTCGGCACCCCAGCTATCCTTTCCAGCCCCAAGTTCCAAGCCTCAGGCCACTACAACTGCTCAGTGAGAAAGGAGGGGGGTCTCAGGGACACTGGTACTGGCTGCTGAGGCACCCATCCTGGCTGCCCTGACCAGTCCCCGGTCCTTCCAGCTCATCTTCTATCACTACCTGCACGGGTCAGAGGCCGGCCTACTCCAGCTGTTCTTGCAGACTCAGAGTCCCGGCGACCCCCAGGCTCCTGTCCTGCTGCGGAGGCGCCACGGGGAGCTGGGGGCCACCTGGATCCGAGACCGGGTTGACATCCAGAGTGACCACCCCTTCCAGGTGAGGCCAGCCGAGCAGTGTCAGAGGACATGAGAGGGGCAGGGTCCAGGGAGCCCCCGCCAAGAGCAGGGAAGCGGGGCCCAGGGCCTGGAGCCATTGCTGGGCGGGCCACTTTGTTAGAGGTGGTGGTGGGAGAGGTGTTCAGCAATACACGAAGTGCAAGCTGTGGGTGGGTGGGGAGAGAGTGTGAAGGAGTGGACCGCCGGGAGGACCTGGTGCCAGGGCACCCCTGAGTCCCCTCTGCCCTCAGGTCCTCCTGGCTGGGCAGACGGGCCCCGGAGGCATCGTGGGCCTGGACGACCTCATCCTGTCTGAACACTGCAAAATAGTCCCAGGTAAGCCTGCCCGAGCCCCTGCCCTGCCCAGGAAACCCCCAACCCTGCCCTTCCCACCCCCACCCCAACCCAGTCTGACCCCAGTTGTGCCCCCGCAGAGGTGTCCGCCCTGCAGACGCTGCCTCCTGGGCCCTGGGTCCCTCTCCCCAAGTCCCAGCCGTCCCACCCGTGGCTCCGGGATTATTGCGAGTCAGGGCATCTGTCCTGTGGGGACCTGTGTGTGCCCCCGCAGCAGCTGTGTGACTTCCAGCAGCAGTGTGTGGGGGGCGAGGACGAGCAGGAGTGCGGTAAAGGGGCAGGCAGGGCGGGGCGGGGGATGGGTCCTCCCTCCCTGCCCACCCCTCCCCACCGTGGGAGGTCAGGGAAGTCAGGGTCCCCGGGCAGGGCTGGGGTCCCCGGGCTGTTCAGCTCCACTGCTGTTGCAGGCACTACAGACTTCGAATCCGCCGTGGCTGGGGGCTGGGAAGACGCCAGCGTGGGGCGGTTGCAGTGGCAGCTCATAGCCCACGAGGGCAGGGGGCCTGGTGCAGACGCCAGCAGGGCTGCTGCTGCTGGTGAGGCCCGAGCCCCCAGGGCAGCCGGCAGCCGGCAACCTCCTGCGCGTTGCTTCCGTGGAGTGGTCTTCCTGCTCTGGCTTCCTCTCTAGGGAGGGTCACCCAGGGACAGGGGCTGTCCTGGAGGGATGGGGTTCTAAGTGACTCTGCTCTCCCCCAGGGCACTTCCTGTCTCTGCAGAGGGCCTGGGGGCAGCGGAGGGCCGAGGCCCGCGTCCTCACGCCCCCCCTGGGCCCCTCCGGCCCCAGCTGTGTGCTCTGCCTGGCTTACTATTTCCACAGTAACCCCCAAGGTACTGCACCCCCCCCAGGTCCCCGCCCAGTTCCCCAGTGCTCCCTGCAGGTGGGGAGAGGTCCCAGATGGCCAACCCACGGTGACCCCTCACCAGGCTTCCTGGCGCTGGTCGTGGTGGAGGGCGGCTTCCGGGAGCTGGTGTGGCAGGCCCCAAGCAGCAGCGCTGGGGACTGGAAGGAAGACAGGGTCCTTCTCGGGGCACGAAGCCGGCCGTTCCACGTGAGTAGGGCAGCTTGGGGTGGGGCTCGCATGAAGTGGGACTCTGGTCTGACGGTCCCCTCCCTTGTGCCCCTCCTGTGAAGCTGGAGTTCATCGGTCTGGTGGATTTGGATGGCCCTGGCCAGCAGGGGGCTGGGGTGGACAATGTGACCTTGAGGGACTGCAGCCCTGCACTGACCACGGAGAAAGACCGAGGTGCCTGCCACCCACCTGCCATCCCCTGGGGAGTCCCACTCAGACCACCTAGAGGGACCCCCGCCTCTGGGAATCTCCATGTTCTCAGGGCTCAGGAGGGCTAGGGTGGGGTGGGGATGTGCTGACCCCCCTGCCACCATCCAGAGGTCTCCTGTAACTTTGAGCGGGACACCTGTGGCTGGCACACTGGCCACCTCACAGATGCCCACTGGCACTGGATCAAGAGCCATGGCCCTGGGTATGACCACACCACCGGTCAAGGTAGGGCAGGGGGCTCCCAGATGTAGGGGGGCTCTCACACCCAGGGGATGCCTCTCATGCCTGGGGGGCTCTCAGGCCTCGGGGGTGTCTCAGACCAAGGGCCTATCTGACTGACCTAGGAGGGACTCTCAGGCCTGGGGGGCCTCCCAGACCTGGGGAGCATCTCCACAGCTCAGTTCCATGTCCCCCCTGGAGGCTACTTCATGCTGCTGGACCCCACAGACCCCCCTGCCCGGGGCCACGGTGCCCACCTACTCACCAGGCCCCAGGTGCCAGCATCTGCTGAGGAGTGTCTCAGCTTCTGGTACCACCTCTATGGGCCTCAGATTGGTGAGTGAGCTTTGGAGCTGGGCAGAGCCTCTGTGGCGCCCACTGGGGCCCTGGGGAGGGATCAGGAGTCGGGGGCTGGTCTGTGCAAACCCCACCTCCCTCCAGGGACTCTGCGCCTGGCCATGAGACGGGACGGGGAGGAGGACACATACCTGTGGTCCCGGTCGGGCACCCATGGCAACCACTGGCATGAGGCTTGGGCCACCCTCCACCACCAGCTGGACTCCAACACTCAGTACCAAGTGAGGCCTGGCGCCCAGGTGGGGGGTGCAGGCAGGGCCCCCCACTGCCTGACACCCTCTGCCCCCAGCTGCTGTTCGAGGGCCTCCGGGATGGCTACCAGGGCACCATGGCGCTGGACGACCTGGCCGTGCGGCCTGGTCCCTGCTGGGCCCCCAAGCGCTGCTCCTTCGAGGACTCCACCTGTGGCTTCACCCCCGGGGGACAAAGCCTGTGGAGGCGCCAGGCCAATGCCTCAGGCCATGCCACCTGGGGCCCCCAAACAGACCACACCACAGAGACGGCTCAAGGTAGTGCAGCTTGCCGGGCTGTGGAGGGCCAAAAGGCGGAAGGGCTGGCCACGGCCTGGTGGACTGACGCTGGCACCCACAGGGTACTACATGGTGGTAGACACGAGCCCCCAGGCCCTGCCCCAGGGCCACGTGGCCTCCCTGACCTCAGAGGAACACAGGCCTCTGGCCCAGCCTGCCTGCCTGACCTTCTGGTACCACCTGAGTCTCAGCAACCCAGGTGAGGGGCTGTGGGCGGGATGCCCATGGGGCTCAGGGAGACTTGGCCTGGGTCCGCACAGGCCCCTGTGCCAAGGCCGCCTGGGCTCAGTGTCCAGGTTGGGGAGCCAAGTGGGGCCACACGGGCTTTCTGCCCCCACTGCAGCTGACCCGGGCTGGTCCTGGTGTGGCAGGCACCCTGCAGGTCCATGTGGAAGAGGGCAGGAGGCACCAGGTGTTCAGCGTCAGTGCCAGCGGTGGGTTTGCCTGGCGCCTGGGCAGCGTGGATGTGCAGGCTGAGCGGGCTTGGAGGGTGAGCGCCCGGGGCCGGGGGGCAGCCCTTCCTCACTCCCAAGGGCTGCCGGGAACAGCTCAAGGCCATCCCGCCCTGCACCCCTCCAGGTGGTGTTCGAGGCCGTGGCAGCCGGCATGGAGCATTCCTACGTGGCGGTGGATGACCTGTTCCTCCAGGACGGGGCCTGCCCTCGGCCAGGTGGGAGTCCTGCGGCACATGGGGTGGGCCAAGGGGGAGGCAGTGCCCACTGATTGGTTCCTTGCAGGTTCCTGTGACTTCGAGTCTGGTCTGTGTGGCTGGAGCCACCTGGCCTGGCCTGGCCTGGGCAGGTACAGCTGGGACTGGAGTGGTGGCACCACACCCTCCCGCTATCTCCAGCCCCCCGTGGACCACACCCTGGGCACAGAGGCAGGTGCGCACGGGCCAGGGGGCCTGAGCTGGGGAAGGTGGGCCCTGCAGCCACACATGCCACTGCCTCCCACCACTACCCCACGGCACAGCTGGGCCTGCCCCCCATGCCCCCCTCAGGTTACTGCCCTCTCTTGTTCCCAGGACACTTTGCCTTCTTTGAAACCAGCGTTCTGGGCTCTGGGAGCCAGGCGGCCTGGCTGCGCAGTGAGCCACTGCCAGCTACGCAGGCCTCCTGCCTCTGCTTCTGGTACTACATGGGCTTTCCTGAGCACTTCTGTGAGTCAGGCTGGGGCAGCAGGCACCTAGGCAGTGGGGGGCAGGTGCCAGGGGGCAGGGGTTGGGATGTCTGGGCAGCGGGGGGGGGCAGGGGGCAGGGGCAGCCCCACCTTGCACCAGGTCAGGCACTCAGGGGCCCACCAGGGACCCTGAGGCCTGACCTGCTCTGGCACCCCTGCTCTCAGACAAGGGCGAGCTGAGGGTGCTCCTGAGAAGCACGCAGGGCCAGCTGGCCGTGTGGGGCACGGGCGGGCATCTGCGGCACCAGTGGCTGGAAGTCCAGGTGGAGGTGGCCAGCACCAAAGAGTTCCAGGTGAGGCTGGGCTGCCCAGAGACAGCAGACCTCAGGGGCCTCGGCCAGACTCTCCTGTGTGGCCTCCTCCAGCCCACCGGCCTCTCTTCTTTCCCCATCAGATCGTGTTTGAAGCCACTCTGGGAGGCCAGCCAGCCCTGGGGCCCATTGCCCTGGATGACGTTGAGTATCTGGCCGAGCAGCGTTGCCAGCGGCCTACACCCGGCCAGGGTGAGCACTGGGCGCCAGGCTGAGGCTGCTGAGAGGAGGGCCTGGGCCGGCCAGCCCTTGCCTGGGTCTGTTGGGCTCAGCAGTGCACAGGACCGTGGCTGTTAGTGCCCTGCATGCAGGAGGCTGGGGGAACTGCCAAGGCCAGGCCCTGTGCCCTCTCCACTCTCTGTCCCACTGGTCTTGGGTCCGTCACCTGGGCTGTCCCTGGGGAGCTGCATCAGCCCTCAGTGCCCATGGTAGCTGTCCCTAGGCCTGCCCAGCTTGGCTGTGGCTTCCATGCCCCCTGCACCCACTCCCAGGACAGCGCAGAGACTGCGGCCAGGCCTGTCCTCTGTGTGGTCACTAGTTGCTGTCGCTTTGTGAAGAACGGGGGTGTCCAGCTGGGGCCGTGACCCTCAAGGTCTGCACACAGCTGTGGCCTGCCTGCAGGTTCCCAGCCTAGTCAGCATGACTCCCCCTTTTAAAGAGAATAAGCCCTAGGAGCCTGCAGGGGCTGAGGGGACCGCGTGGTCCCAGGCTTCCTCCTCAGCCTTGGGTATGGGGTGCTGGACCCAGGCACCAGGACTGGAGGGCTGATGTGGAGGCTCACGTCCCGGGCCTCATGTGCCTGCGGCCCACAGGGGACACGGATGTGCCTGTGTCGGTGCCGGCCGTGGTCGGCGGCACCGTCCTCCTCCTCATGCTCATGGTGCTGCTGGGAGTCGGGGGACGGCACTGGCTGCGCAGAAAGGGGGGCTGCCCCTTCCAGAGTGAGACGGAGGCTGTGGCCCCCGGCTTTGACAACGTCCTCTTCAACACGGTAGGAGCCCCCGGTGTGCATGGGTGGGCAGGAGCCCCTGCCTCTGTGCTCGGCTGTGACGGGACTGCTGCAGGGCGTGGCCCCACCCTTCACTGCCCCTTCAGTCTCCGTCATGCAGCCCCTCCCTTCCTCCTAGGATCACGTCACTCTCCCGGCGTCTGTCACCAACGGTCCATAGACCACCCCAGACAAGGTCCTGGCTCCTTGCAAGAACATCCCCAACACTCAAGACCCCAGAACTACGACCTTGGCCAGGGACTGGACACCTGCCCCTACCCCCAGGCTGAGCCAGGCTGCAGAGTCTTGGAGGACACACTGAGCCTCCGTGTCCCTCACCCTGTTCAGGGACTCTGCCCGCCATGTGGCTGGGGGGTCCTGCCCCATGCCTGTGGGGGCAACCCAAGCTCACAGGCTGAGTCAGTGCGTCCACATGCCGCCAGCCAGTGGGTAGGCAGGCCTCGTCAGGATTCCCACACCTGACCTGAGAAGATCTGAGAACGAGCTTGGGGCATCTCCTTGCGTCTCAATGCAGCTCGGAAGCTAGAGACTGAGGGCAGCCCTGCCCCACGTGTGTCGGGTGAAAGAAGCAGGCAGGCCCCACCCAGAACAAGGGCGGGGCAGGCACGGAGGCAACCCAGCAGAACCCGGAGCAGCTGCCACCCCAGGCTGGGCAGAAACAAGCGCCCCAGCCCCCGGCCTTGTCCAGCCCCTGTCCAGCCCCTGCCTCGCGGGTGATTCTGCGTCTACTGAGGACGGGAATGGAATAAATCCACAGGTGCAGGGACACACTGAGGAGCAAAAATGTACTGAGCCGTCTGACAGAGCGGGCCTGGGGGGACACACCCCAGCCGTGTCCACCGTCTGTGATAAAGGTCCCTGTTCCACTCTGCTGTCTGCAATAAACGTCTCTGTATTCACTGTCCCCAATAAAGGTCCCCATGTCCACTGCCCACGATAAACGTGCCCTGTCCACTCTGCAATAAGGATCCCCTTGTCATTGTCCATAAATGTTCCCATGTCCACTCTCCATGATTAAGGACCCCAGGTCCTCTGTCCATAATAAATATCCCAGTGTCCACTCTCCACAATACAGGGCTCCATATCCACTCTCTGTGATAAGTGTCCCATGTCCACTGTCTCAGATAAATATCCCCATGGCCATGACCCATAATAACGGTTTGAGCAATGCCAGGGCTGCAGGTTCCGATGCTGAGGTCACATGGTTTCCGGGACACTCCTGAGCAGACCACAGGCAGGCAAGCTGAGCCCTGCCCTCGGCCTCACAAGTCGGGGGGAGTGTGGTCCTCCACAAAGGTGTGTGCGCAAACGGGCACCCACAGAGCACCCTTGTCCTAAGGAAGCAGAGTCGCCTCTAACCCAGGGGTGGTTCCCACAGCATTGACCCTCCACACAGGGGACTCGGGGCCTGAGGCCTGGCTTTGGGTAGCTGTCATTGGGGAGGGCAGTGATACCCACACCTGTGCAGCCAGGTGCTCCCTTCCTGCCCAAAGGAAGGCTCCACCCAACCTTGTGGACACTCACCTGCCCCAAGGAGCCCTAGTTGTTGGGGGCACAGCGCCCTCACCAGCCACTGGGCTCTGGCCTGTCCCAGGGACTTGGTCCCAGGGAGGGCAGCAGTTGGACATGGCTAGACGCTGTCTTGCGTCTTCAGGTGCCACGAGGCTGACTGATGCCCACTAACTGTCCAAGCACATGGCCTAGGAGAAAAGAGCTCTGAGCAGAGAGATTGACCTCCAAAGCCCCCAGGGGACACCTACGGGCGTCTGTCCTGAAAACCCACCTTATTTCCCCACAGCTGTGGTCCAGGGAGTGCGGCCAGGCAGAAGGCTGCAGAGGAGGCTGAGCAGTACAGCCGCCACCCAGCCTCTCTTCCAGCCTTGGCCCCCCCACCCTCCATGGGGGGGTGGTCCTCAGAACTGCCCCACGCAGACGCCCATGGGAGGGGAAGATAGCGTCTGACACCTGAATGGGGGGGGCGGGGGGGGGCGGCCGGGCAGAGCGCTGCGGAGGGGGCTGAGCAGTACAGCCGCCACCCAGCCTCTCTTCCAGCCTTGGCCCCCCCACCCTCCATGGGGGGGTGGTCCTCAGAACTGCCCCAGGCAGACGCCCATGGGAGGGGAAGATAGCGTCTGACACCTGAATGGGAGGGACGGGGGGAGGGAGAAAAACAAGACAGGAGAAGCCAGGAGTTCGCAAGCTTTTGTTGTGTTTTGACAGCAGGTGTGGGTGAGGAGGGTGCCCGCAGGCTGGACACCCACGTTCCGCTTAGCCACGCGAGGAGACCCACGGCAGCACCGCTGGTCGGGGACCCAGCCGGGGAGATCAGCCGGAACACACTGACTTCGAGGCTTTGTGCTCACTTTGCCCTCGGCCCCTTCTCGATGGGCTTTCCAATGTCCTTCCCCCGGAGTTTTAGGCCTGAAATAAGCCATCAGCCACCGCCCGCTGTGCTGCCACTCTGCGGCACCAAGGGACACCCCAAGGTGGCAGCAGGTGTCCACTCTGAGCACCAGCTGCCTCCCCTGTCTCAAGCTGCCCCCGTGACATCTTCCCAGGGCTACCCTTAGGAAAGAAGGGACACCACCCCCCCTCACGGGCTCTCAGCACAGCGACTCTGCTGGTTTTCAGGTCCAATTTTAAAAAGAGCGTGAGTCTGACGATCCCAGGAAGCAAAGAATGAACATCTCTTCCTGGATGAACTAGGGCTTTCTCTGCAGAGCCATGTTCTGGCCACCACGCTGACACCACAAAGGGGCAGTGTGGGAGCAGAACGTGATGTGTGGTCAATGCCCCAGCAGGGAGAACACGGAGGGTCGCTGACCCTGCCGTGCTCAGGCTCAGAGGAGAGCTCTGGCCACAGCAAGGAGGTGAAGGGACTGCAAAGGGAGGGATCCCAGGCTGTTCGCTGGTGGGATTTTCTGAGGGCTCCAGAGTCCCTATCATCCTCCAATAGCACGTGCTGCCTCGAGGAGTAAAGCTCTTAGGCAGAATTCCTGTGGTTTCAGAGAACAGGGTGCCCCCAGAACCCCGTCCTCACCACCCCCACCAAGGAGAGGGCAGCTGCCCAGCCACAACCAAAGGAAGACAAGGACACTCACCAATGGCTCTCTCGATTTTGCCCAGAACCTGGTTATTAGGAATGGCCCGTCCACTCTCATAGTCTGCGATGACTTGCGGCTTTTCGTTGATTTTCTACAGAGAAGACGTGCGTTACATGTATCTTCAGTAAGGACATGCCCCATCAGCCCGAGCAGCTCTTGGAGACTCTGGGATCCACACCCACACACAACCATGCCTCATGCTAGAAGTTACAGCTGGTCTGACCTGGCTTCCCGAGAGGCCTTCAAGGTGCCTGGGGGTGGGGGCAAGGGTAAACTGAAGCCCCCAAAGTCACCAGGCAGGTGGAGCCCACCGTCCAGGTGTGCTCTGAACGCTGTCTACCTGCCTCCTCAAACCCACAGCCGCAGAATGGGAGCTACGAAAGCGCCAGAGCCTCACCGTGGCCAGGTCCTTCTGGGTCAGCCCCTTGCTCTGCCGACCCTGCTGGATCACTTTGCCCACCTCCAGGGTCACCCTGTCATGGTGCAGCTCCTCAGTCTCCCGGTCCAGCTTTGCAGTGTTCTTGGTGATCGAATGCTGTTTGTTCTGGCCAGCAGCCCCTGAGTCGGTGTGAGGCAAGAGCACAGGAGAGGGTTTGGAATCGATCCGAAGAAAAATGATTTTGGAAGGGTAACTGGACCGACCAGGCTCTCTGAGCCCAGGGCGACACAGGCAGCCAGGATGCCCCAAATCCACAGACCTAACAGCATGGAGTTCCAAGGTTTTCACTCAGTTATGGGAAGTGGGTAGGCAGTAAGAGTCCCTGCTGAACTTCTGCCAGCCAGAGCTCATCTGATCAGATCACAGGCACTCCCAGTTCCCCAGCCGGCTTCAGGGGCCAGCGGTCCCTCTGACTCTTGACACAGGTCCCTCGAGGCCTACCCACAGCACCCCCATCTACAGATAAATCCTAACAGCACACCCTCATTTTGCAAGTGGAAACACGAGTACCTACATTTCTTGGAAGTCTCCACATCTTCTCCTCGTCTCTGAGCTGCTAAGATGGCCTAGAAAATCAGAAAATGTTTTTTGATTAAAATTAGCTTTGGCAGTGTCTGGCACACACCAATTTAGGCTGCTGTTAGCCAATTAGCACACTGCTAATGACCAGTGGTTTTGAGGGACTGATATGCAATGCTGGGTTTAATAACCCAAGCTCATCATACGAAATCTTCTATGATCAAATATTCAGGTAACTCACAATAAACTGCTATTGAGAAAAGAGAAACAGCTCACTTCTTTTGC